ATATGTATGTATGTGTATATATATGTATGTATGTGTGTGTGTGTATATATATATATATATATATATATATATATATATATATTGAATATGGCCAAAATTGTAGCATTTCAATATATTTGGGAAGAATATTTTTAACCACTTTAACCAACGGATCAAATTCAAAATCCTAACGCTGACGTACAAAGCTGTCCACCATACTGCCCCGAACTACATCACTGACCTAATATCCAAGTACCGCCCAACACGCACACTCCGCTCCTCACAAGACCTCCTTCTCTCTAGTTCCCTGGTCTCCTCCTCCCATGCCCGCCTCCAGGACGTCTCCAGGGTGTCACCCATCCTCTGGAACTCCCTGCCCCAACCCATCAGATTATCACCTACTCTCCTCTCCTTTAGGCGCACCCTGAAAACCCATCTCTTCAGGGAAGCCTACCCCACCCCCTGCTAACTTGCCGACCTCCTCCACTCTTCCTACCACTCCATCCCCCACAGCTACACTTGCAAGAAAAAGTATGTGAACCCCTTGGGATTACGTGAAGTTTTGCATGAATTTGGCATAAAATGTGATCTGAACGTCATCTAAGTCACAACAATAGAAGAACACAGTCTGCTGAACATAATACTACACAAACATTAGATGTTGCGATGGTTTAATTGCACATAACATGCAAACATTCACAGTGCAGGGAGGAAAAAGTATGTGAACCTTAGGACTAATAACTGGTTGACCCTCCTTTGGCAGCAATAACCTCAACCAAACGTTTCCTGTAGTTGCAGATCAGACCTGCACAACGATCTGGAGTAATTTTGGACCACTCCTCTTCACAAAACTGTTTCAGTGTAGCAATATTCTTGGGATGTCTGGTGTGAATCGTTCTCTTAAGGTCATGCCACAGCATTTCAATCGGGTTGAGGTCAGGACTCTGACTGGGCCACTCCAGAAGGCGTATTCTGTGCTGTTGCAGCCATTGTTTTGTTGAATTACTTGTATGCTTTTGGTCATTGTCCTGTTGCATCACCCATCCTCTGTGGAGCTTCAGTTGGCGGACAGATGGTCGTACATTTTCCTGCAAAATGTCTTGATAAACTCTGGAATTCATTTTCCCATCAATGAGAACAATCCGTCCAGGCCCTGAGGCAGCAAAGCAGCCCCAAACCATGATGCTCCCTCCGCCATGTTTTACAGTGGGGATGAGGTTTTGATGTTGGTGTGCTGTGCCTTTTTTTCTCCACACATAGTGTTGTGTGTTCTTCCCAAACAACTCAATCTTGGTTTCATCTGTCCACAGTATATTTTGCCAGTAGTGCTGTGGAACATCCAGGTGCTCTTTTGCAAACTTCAAACGTGCTGCAATCTTCTTTTTGGACAGCAATGGCTTCCTCCGTGGTGTCCTCCCATGTACTCCATTCTTGTTTAATGTTTTCCTTATTGTAGATGTGTCAACAAAAATGTTAGCATGTGCCAGAGATTTCTGTAGGTCTTTAGCTGACACTCTGGGATTCTTCTTTACCTCATGCAGCATTCTGCACTGTGCTCTTGCAGTCATTTTTACAGGACGACCACGCCTAGGGAGAGTAGCAACAGTGCTAAACTTTCTCCATTTGTAGACAGTCTGTCTTACCGTGGACACATGAACATCAAGGCTTTTGGAGATACTTTTGTAACCCTTTCCAGCTTCATGCAAGTCAACAATTCTTGATCGTAGGTATTCTGAGAGCTCTTTTCTGCGAGGCATGGTTCACATCAGACAGTGCTTCTTGAAACCAGTAAACCCAAAACAGGTGTGTGTTTTTTAAGGGCAGGACAGTTGTCAGCAACACATCCAATATCATCACACTGATTGGAGTCAAGGTTGGCTCACTCCTGGATCCAATTATCTCTGGGAGAAGTCATTAAGCTAGGGCCTCACATACTTTTTCCTCCCTGCACTGTGAATGTTTACATGTTATGTGCAATTAAACCATGGCAACATCTAATGTTTGTGTAGTATTATGTTCAGCAGACTGTGTTCTTCTATTGTTGTGACTTAGATGACGTTCAGAGCACATTTTATGCCCAATTCATGCAAAACTCCACGTAATCCCAAGGGGTTCACATACTTTTTCTTGCAACTGTATCTCCTCCTGTGCCACCACCCCCTCCCTCCTAGATTGTAAGCTCCAAAGAGCAGGGCCCTCGATCCCCTCATGTTTTGCATTGTATTGGTACTGTTCTGTCACATGTTCTGTCCCCCTTTGTAATGTACAGCGCTGAGCGAACTATTGGCGCTTTATAAATACTGTATAATAATAATAATAATAATAACCACTTCCCGTCCGGCCATTGTATGTAAACGGCCGGACGGTGGCAGTGCAGGGGCGGGTGGCTGTTTATAAATGGCCTCCCCACCACCTCCTTGTGCGCGCTCCCAGGGAGAGCGCACACTGCGCTCCGGTGCCGCTGTGTCCTCCGGACACAGTAAAACACCGATCGTCGGACGGGACCTTTGCACGAGGTCCCGATCATGTGATCGCTGATTGTCCAATCAATGATCACATGCAAAGTAGAAAGCAAGATGTCACTTCTGACATCATTGCTTACTACGTGTGAAATCTGTGAATGATCACAGAGGTCCCATGGTACAGGGCTATTCACAACAGCCTTGTACCATGTGACAAGCTGTGACCAATCACAGCTCACTCAGTACTTCTCAATGGCTGCAAGAATGCTGACAGAGAGAAAGAGAAATGATTGCTTTTACATCTTATATGGGTGTAAAAGCAGTGTAAAAGAAAAAAAAAATTCTTCATCACCCCCCACAAGTAGTACAGTGTCACCATGTTAGGGTGACAGTATGTAAAAAAAAATATATATATATATATATATATATATATATATATATATATATATACAGTTGCAAGAAAAAGTATGTGAACCCCTTGGGATTACGTGGAGTTTTGCATGAATTGGGCATAAAATGTGCTCTGAACGTCATCTAAGTCACAACAATAGAAGAACACAGTCTGCTGAACATAATACTACACAAAGATTAGATGTTGCCATGGTTTAATTGTACATAACATGTAAACATTCACAGTGCAGGGAGGAAAAAGTATGTGAACCTTTGGACTTAATAACTGGTTGACCTTCCTTTGGCAGCAATAACCTCAACCAAACATTTCCTGTAGTTGCAGATCAGACCTGCACAACGATCTGGAGTAATTGTGGACCACTCCTCTTCACAAAACTGTTTCAGTGTAGCAATATTCTTGGGATGTCTGGTGTGAATCGCTCTCTTAAGGTCATGCCACAGCATTTCAATCGGGTTGAGGTCAGGACTCTGACTGGGCCACTCCAGAAGGCGTATTCTGTGCTGTTGCAGCCATTGATTTGTTGAATTACTTGTATGCTTTGGGTCATTGTCCTGTTGCATCACCCATCCTCTGTGAAGCTTCAGTTGGCGGACAGATGGTCGTACATTTTCCTGCAAAATGTCTTGATAAACTCTGGAATTCATTTTCCCATCAATGAGAACAATCCGTCCAGGCCCTGAGGCAGCAAAGCAGCCCCAAACCATGATGCTCCCTCCGCCATGTTTTACAGTGGGGATGAGGTTTTGATGTTGGTGTGCTGTGCCTTTTTTTCTCCACACATAGTGTTGTGTGTTCTTCCCAAACAACTCAATCTTGGTTTCATCTGTCCACAGTATATTTTGCCAGTAGTGCTGTGGAACATCCAGGTGCTCTTTTGCAAACTTCAAACGTGCTGCAATATTCTTTTTGGACAGCAATGGCTTCCTCTGTGGTGTCCTCCCATGTACTCCATTCTTGTTTAATGTTTTCCTTATTGTAGATGTGTCAACAAAAATGTTAGCATGTGCCAGAGATTTCTGTAGGTCTTTAGCTGACACTCTGGGAATTTTCTTTACCTCATGCAGCATTCTGCGCTGTGCTCTTGCAGTCATTTTTACAGGACGACCACGCCTAGGAGAGTAGCAACAGTGCTAAACTTTCTCCATTTGTAGACAGTCTGTCTTACCGTGGACACATGAACATCAAGGCTTTTGGAGATACTTTTGTAACCCTTTCCAGCTTCATGCAAGTCAACAATTCTTGATCGTAGGTCTTCTGAGAGCTCTTTTCTGAGAGGCATGGTTCACATCAGACAGTGCTTCTTGAAACCAGTAAACCCAACACAGGTGTGTGTTTTTTAAGGGCAGAACAGCTGTCAGCAACACATCCAATATCATCACACTGATTGGAGTCAAGGTTGTAACTGTGTATATATATATATATAAAAAAAATTAAAATGTAAAAAAAAAAGTTTAAAGTATAGAATTTTTGGTTATAAACTAATTTTGGCTTTTTTATTTATTTATTTTTACTAAAAAGATAACGGAATAAATTTTGGCCAAGGTTTTTTCAAAATTTTTGGACGTTTTCATTTACATAGCAAAAAAAATAAAAATCCCTGTGGTGAATAAATACCACCAAAATAAAACTTTATCTGTCTCAGAAAATGGTACAAAATTCATATGGGTACAGTGTTGCATGACCGCACAATTGTCATTCAAAGTGTGATAGCACTGAAAGCTGAAAATTGCCCTGGACACGAAGGGGGTAAAAGTGTCCAGACTGGAAGAGGTTAAACTATATTTCAAATGTGGGCCTGTTGTGTAATATATAATTTTTTATTTTCTTTTACACGAAGCAGATGGGAAGGCAATGATCAGTATAGCGCTGTTTTGGGAAGTTCACAATCATTCGATCATTTCACGCAAATTTCACACCGTGTGTCTGAAACCTGTGACTGGAGAATGTTAATTAAAACCAACACCTCTTTGTATTTTATCCTCAGGGACTCCCAGAGACCAGGATCCCAGGAGAGCCTCATCGAGATCCTATGTGTGGAGCCTTCATCTCCCCCAGCTGTGGATGGGGCCCTGTGCAGACGTCCGTTGTGTCGCCTCCTATACCATGTTGGGAATATCTGGAGCTGACTGTCCAGACCTGAAGGTCCAATGACTTGTGTCTCCCTCCTGAGCCTGCAATACAAGGGCAGCGTGTGGGGCAGGAGTGTGGTGGAGATGGCTCATATCCCCGTCTATCTGAGCCCAGCCGTGCTGGTTCTGTTCAGCTGTGACCTCTGCTTGGTGAGAGCAAGTAAGTATCTCTGAGTATACAATGCATCTTCAACAAAGTGATGATGATCCATGGCAATGGATACAATTCTGCCACCAGAAACTTGTTCCTGATGCTTAGAACAAGCATAGATCTATACCAGGGGTGGACTGACAACTGGGCAATAGGGGATCATGGGGCCCCTGTGTCCTTACCCAAACTCAAAAAAGCCTATGAAAAAGGTACCAGGGGCATCTCATGGGGCCCCCCTACTGACCCCGGGCCCTCGGCAGTGCCCGAGTTTCCAAATGGTCAGTCCGCCCCTGGTCTATATTCAAACAAACTGAAAAAAACAAACACCCCCTCCAAAAAAAAAAAAAAAAAAAATGGGCAGACTCGATGGACCACTCGGTCTTGTTCTGCCATCACGTTTCTATGTTTCGATGGTAGAAATGTTCTCTATTTTAGGAAAGAAGTGGTGACCGAAGCACTACAAGACAATTTGAGAATGGCATTGTGATGTATCTTCAAGCTTTAAAAAAACCCAATTGTGATGTAAAGGAATTATTAGCTCGGTGGCAGTAGCGGTTTTATGGATATAATACCAGTCCAAACTTCATTTTAGGGCTTGTTGGACCACTTTTATTAAACCCGAAAGTAAAAGTGACGCTGATATGTTTGGTGACCCTTTGCATGCCTAGACACCTCGTCATTAGTTTGTGAGCGATACTGATTTGTTGGGTGATCTCACGTGTGCCTAGGCATCTCATCCAACCACAGCCTGGGGGGAGCTGGATGCTGCACCTGTTCCTCCTCCATTAAATTGCAGGGGGGAGACGCACAGCAGCTAGATGCTTTCATGTGCAAGGGCCCTAAACCCGGGTGCCACACGTTCCTTGTGATAAGGATAACAACAAGCTGTGCTCTCAGTGAAGGATTTGAAAGTTTCTGTAGAAGGGTTACAAAGTAAATGATCTGAAAGTAGGTGGACCTTCAATCACCTTCATCCCACCCCCGCCCCAACTCAATTTATTTATTTTTTTCTACAGGGCGCGCGTATCTTTTTTTTTTTTTTTTTTTGGGTACCAGCTCCCACTTCCTTAATTCTCTCCTAGGCAAGAGTGACATAGATAGTCCCATCCACAGCCTCCTGGGAAGTGTCCACATGTCCCAGGAGGCTTCAGGACCAGTCTCACTGAGCTGCGCCGTGCAGTGGGGAGCCAGTTGTGATTCCTCAGCAAGTCACCGCCAGCTCCCAAATCCAAGATGGAATCACCAGGGACCTGCAGGGGACAGAAGTGGCTGCAGGATGATGGCGTTAGACTCCAGGTACTGGAGGTTTTTTTTACAGGGAGCGTGTATCTCTTCTTTTTTTTTTTCTTTTTTTTTTTTGTCGGATACCAGCTCCCACTTCCTTCTCTCCTAGGCAAGAGTGGCGTTGCTAGTCCCACCCACAGCCTCCTGGGACGCATCCTCATGTCCCAGGAGGCTTCAGGACCAGTCTCACTGCCAGGGGCGGACTGACAACTCATGGGGCCCCCGGGCAATAGGGGATCATGGGGCCCCTGTGTCCTTGCCCAAACTCAAAAAAGCTATGAAAAAGGTACCAGGGGCATCTCATGGGGCCCCCTACTGACCCTGGGCCCTCGGGCACTGCCCGAGTTTCCAAATGGTCCGTCCCTGCTCACTGCGCTGCGCCGTGCAGTGGGGAGCCAGTTGTGATTTCTCAGGAAGTCACCGCCAACTCCCAAATCCAAGATGGTGCCACCGGGGACCTGCAGGAGACAGAAGTGGCTGTGGGATGACGGCGTTGGGACTCCAGGTACTGATAAGTACCGTATTTGTAGCTGCCGAATTAAAAAAAAAAAATTCTTGAAGAAGCAAAGATCTGAATGGGGTCCTCCAACTATAGCTGATACAAAAAGAAAAATCATTGGTATAGGCTTTACTAAAGTTTAAATGGCATTACTAAGTGCCTATATGCTAATGTTCAGTTCTTTATATAACATTTTTTTATTTGGGTTTAAATGGCATTACTAAGTGCTTATATGCTAATGTCTGGTTCTTTATATACCATGTTTTATTAAAATGTAAAAGTGCTTATGTGCTAATGTTCCCTTCTTTACATAATCTGCTTTAGTTACATTTAAATGGCATTACTAAGTGTTTATATGCTAATGTACAGTTCTTTATATAGTATTTTTTATTTAGGTATAATTGGCATTACTAAGTGCTTATATGCTAACGTCCAGTTCTTTATCTATAATTTTTTTATTTAGGTATAATTGGCACTATTAAGTGCTTATATGCTAATGTTCAGTTCTTTATATAGAATGTTTTATTCAGGTTTAATTGGCATTACTAAGTGCTTATATGCTAACGTCCAGTTCTTTATATAGTATTTTTTATGTAGGTATAATTGGCATTATTAAGTGCTTATATGCTAATGTTAGGGTCTTTATATACCATGCTTTAATAAAGTTTAAAAGTGCTAATGTTCCATTCTTGATCTAATATGCTTTATTTGGGTTTAAATGCCATGACCAAGTGCTTATATGCTAATGTTCGGTTCTTTATATAAAACCAGCATCATGTGTTAGAATGAATTTGCAGAAAGATATTGTTGGATCAACTTTTTTCCCCATGATCTCTGACCTATCTTTTTGTGCAATGCGGAGAGATGTTTAGTCTCCACCAGGGGCGGACTGACCATTTGGAAACTCAGGCACTGCCTGAGGGCCCGGGGTCAGTAGAGGGCCCAATGAGATGCCCCTGGTACCTTTTTCTTAGGTTTTTTTGAGTTTGGGAAAGGACACAGGGGCCCCATGATCCCTTATTGCCCAGGGGCCCCATGAATTGTCAGTCCGCCCCTGGTCTCCACACACACGGGGCATTTTGATAACGCTGGTAACCAGGGGCGGACTGACAACTCATGGGGCCCCCGGGCAATCGGGGATCATGGGGCCCCTGTGTCTTTGCCCAAACTCAAAAAAGCCTATGAAAAAGGTACCAGGGGCATCTCATGGGGCCCCCTACTGACCCTGGGCCCTCGGGCACTGCCCGAGTTTCCAAATGGTCCGTCCCTGCTCACTGCGCTGCGCCGTGCAGTGGGGAGCCAGTTGTGATTTCTCAGGAAGTCACCGCCAACTCCCAAATCCAAGATGGTGCCACCGGGGACCTGCAGGAGACAGAAGTGGCTGTGGGATGACGGCGTTGGGACTCCAGGTACTGATAAGTACCGTATTTGTAGCTGCCGAATTAAAAAAAAAAATTCTTGAAGAAGCAAAGATCTGAATGGGGTCCTCCAACTATAGCTGATACAAAAAGAAAAATCATTGGTATAGGCTTTACTAAAGTTTAAATGGCATTACTAAGTGCCTATATGCTAATGTTCAGTTCTTTATATAACATTTTTTTATTTGGGTTTAAATGGCATTACTAAGTGCTTATATGCTAATGTCTGGTTCTTTATATACCATGTTTTATTAAAATGTAAAAGTGCTTATGTGCTAATGTTCCCTTCTTTACATAATCTGCTTTAGTTACATTTAAATGGCATTACTAAGTGTTTATATGCTAATGTACAGTTCTTTATATAGTATTTTTTATTTAGGTATAATTGGCATTACTAAGTGCTTATATGCTAACGTCCAGTTCTTTATCTATAATTTTTTTATTTAGGTATAATTGGCACTATTAAGTGCTTATATGCTAATGTTCAGTTCTTTATATAGAATGTTTTATTCAGGTTTAATTGGCATTACTAAGTGCTTATATGCTAACGTCCAGTTCTTTATTAGTATTTTTTATGTAGGTATAATTGGCATTATTAAGTGCTTATATGCTAATGTTAGGGTCTTTATATACCATGCTTTAATAAAGTTTAAAAGTGCTAATGTTCCATTCTTGATCTAATATGCTTTATTTGGGTTTAAATGCCATGACCAAGTGCTTATATGCTAATGTTCGGTTCTTTATATAAAACCAGCATCATGTGTTAGAATGAATTTGCAGAAAGATATTGTTGGATCAACTTTTTTCCCCATGATCTCTGACCTATCTTTTTGTGCAATGCGGAGAGATGTTTAGTCTCCACCAGGGGCGGACTGACCATTTGGAAACTCAGGCACTGCCTGAGGGCCCAGGGCCAGTAGAGGGCCCAATGAGATGCCCCTGGTACCTTTTTCTTAGGTTTTTTGAGTTTGGGAAAGGACACAGGGGCCCCATGATCCCTTATTGCCCAGGGGCCCCATGAATTGTCAGTCCGCCCCTGGTCTCCACACACACGGGGCATTTTGATAACGCTGGTAACCAGGGGCGGACTGACAACTCATGGGGCCCCCGGGCAATCGGGGATCATGGGGCCCCTGTGTCTTTGCCCAAACTCAAAAAAGCCTATGAAAAAGGTACCAGGGGCATCTCATGGGGCCCCCTACTGACCCCGGGCCCTCGGGCAGTGCCCGAGTTTCCAAATGGTCAGTCCGCCCCTGCTGGTAACATTAGCTGTGTACAGTCACGTTTAAAAATGTGAGTTTTCAGCTTTTTTTAGTGTTTTTGCATTAGCGTTTAGCGGTGTTTTGAAAAATATAACGACGTTTTTACGCATTTGTTGTTTTTAGCATTTTTTTTTTTCAGAAAGAATTTTTTTTTTTTTAAAAAACAAGTTTTTTTAGAAATAAAAATGGTCCTACATGGCCATTTAGCCACTGTGCTGCCCTTGAAAAGCAATCCGCCACTTTGTAGAAGGCAGTAAGCCTTAGTCCTCATGCATACTTTTTTGGCAAAAAAAAACCTCCAAAAGCGCCAGTTTGTGGCTTTTTACCGCATTTTTCATCTTAAAAACACCTCTAGAAGCCCAATAGTCCTGGGATTTTTTCTAGCTGAAAAATGCCCCTGCCAAGAAACGTTGATTGCAGTCTATGTGTGCATGGAAACATAGGGTAACATGCTGGGGGGTTTACTGGCTGTAGAAGAGAACGTCAAAAGCCAAAAACAGCCGCTGTAAGAATGTCCCGTGTGCATGAGGACTAAGGCTTACTGCCTTCTACAAAGCGGTGGATTGCTTTTCAAGGGCAGCACAGTGGCTAAATGGCCATGTAGGACCATCAGGAACATAAAACATATATATACGTTTAGGTATGCATAAATGTGTATTAAATCATTCACTTATTAAATGGGGCAGCACAGGGCTAAATGGTTGGCACTTCCACTTGCCAGTACTAGGGTCCTTGGTTCAAATCCCAACCATATCACCACCTGCCTGGAGTTTGCATGTTCTCCCTGTGCCTGTGTGGGTTTCCTCCAGGTACTCCAGTTTCCTCCCACACGCAGCACTTTACATATATATTGTACATTCACATCAGTCCCTAACCCTCAAGGGGCGTACAATCTGAGGTCCCTAAATAACTCACATTCATACATACACATACTAGGGACAATTTAGACAGGAGCCAATTATCCAACCAGCATGTCTTTGGAGTGTGGGATGAGACTGGGGTACCTGGAGTAAGCTCACGCAGGCACAGGGAGAACATGCAAACTCCAGGCAGGTGGTGCTGTGGTTGGGATTCGTACCGACTACCCTAGTGCTGCCAGGTGGGAGTCACTGTGCTGCCAAAAGGTTTCAGGATAATGAAGTGTCTGGCAGTTTGAGGGTTACAGAATATTGGCCAGCATGTCTTTGGAGGTTGGGAGGAGACTGGGGTACCTGGAGGAAGCTCACGCAGGCACAGGGAGAACATGCAAACTCCAGGCAGGTGGTGCTGTGGTTGTTACTTGAGCCAATGGCACTGGTTCTGCCAGGTGGACGTGCTAACCACTTAGCCACTGTGCTGCCCCATTTAATGAGTGAAAGATTTAATATACATTTATTCATACCCAGGGGCGGCCTGACAACTCATGGGGGGCCCCCGGGCAATAGGGGATCATGGGGCCACTGTGTCCTCGCCCAAACTCAAAAAAGCCTATGAAAAAGGTACCAGGGGCATCTCATAGGGCCCCCTACTGACCCCGGGCCCTCGGGCAGTGCCCGAGTTTCCAAATGGTCAGTCTGCCCCTGTTCATACCTAAACGTACAGTGGGGCAAAAAAGTATTTAGTCCCCACCAATTGTGCAAGTTCTCCCACTTACAAAGATGAGAGAGACCTGTAATTGGCATCATAGGTAGACCTCAACTATGAGAGACAAAATGAGAAAACAAATCCAGACAATCACATTGGCTGATCTGGAAAGAATTTATTTGCAAATATTGGTGGAAAATAAGTATTTGGGTCACCTACAAACAAGCAAGATTTCTGGCTCTCACAGACCTGTACCTTCTTCTTTAAGAGGCTCCTCTGTCCTGCACTCATTACCTGTATCAATGGCACCTGTTTGAACTTGTTATCAGTATAAAAGACACCTGTCCACAACCTCAAACAGTCACACTCCAAACTCCACTATGGTGAAGACCAAAGAGCTGTCGAAGGACACCAGAAACAAAATTATAGACCTGCACCAGGCTGGGAAGACTGAATCTGCAATAGGCAAGCAGCTTGGTGTGAACAAATCAACTGTGGGAGCAATAATTAGAAAATGGAAGACATACAAGACACTGATAATCTCCCTCGATCTGGGGCTCCACGCAAGATCTCACCCCGTGGGGTCAAAATGATCACAAGAACGGTGAGCAAAAATCCCGGGACCACACGGGGGGACCTAGTGAGTGACCTGCAGAGAGCTGGGACCAACGTAACAAAGGCTACCATCAGTAACACACTACGCCACCAGGGACTCAGATCCTGCAGTGCCAGACGTGTCCCCCTGCTTAAGCCAGTACATGTCCGGGCCCATCTGAAGTTTGCTAGAGAGCATTTGGATGATCCAGAAGAGGATTGGGAGAATGTCATATGGTCAGATGAAACCAAAATAGAACTGTTTGGTAGAAACACAACTCGTCGTGTTTGAAGGAGAGAGAATGCTGAGTTACATCCAAAGAACACCATACCTACTGTGAAGCATGGGGGTGGCAACATCATGCTTTGGGGCTGTGTCTCTCCGCAAAGGGACCAGGACGACTGATCCATGTACAGGACAGAATGAATAGGGCAATTTATCGTGAGATTTTGAATGCAAACCTCCTTCCATCAGCAAGGGCATTGAAGATGAAACGTGGCTGGGTCTTCCAACATGACAATGATCCCAAACATACCGCCCGGGCAACAAAGGAGTGGCTTCGTAAGAAGCATTTCAAGGTCCTGGAGTGGCCTAGCCAGTCTCCAAATCTCAACCCCATAGAAAACCTTTGGAGGGAGTTGAAAGTCCGTGTTGCCCAGCGACAGCCCCAAAACATCACTGCTCTAGAGGAGATCTGCATGGAGGATTGGCCAACATACCAGCAACAGTGTGTGCCAACCTTGTGAAGACTTACAGGAAACGTTTGACCTCTGTCATTGCCAACAAAGGATATATAACAAAGTATTGAGATGAACTTTTCATATTGACCAAATACTTATTTTCCACCATAATTTGCAAATAAATTCTTTCCAGATCAGCCAATGTGATTGTCTGGATTTGTTTTCTCATTTTGTCTCTCATAGTTGAGGTCTACTATGATGCCAATTACAGGCCTCTCTCATCTTTTTAAGTGGGAGAACTTGTACAATTGGTGGCTGACTAAATACTTTTTTTTTCCCCACTGTATATATGTTTTATGTTCCTGATGGTCCTACATGGCGACTGCCCAGGATTGGAGCTTAAAGGGCTCCCGTCTTGCTTCGCTCACTCGAGGATCTCCACATTGTTCATTGTTCTGCTTTCTATTCTTTATTTTGTACCTTTTCTCTTCTAAATAAATAAGTTCACCGCAAGCCAAGCTTGTCACTTTCCTTATCAAATGCATGCGGAGAAGGATTTTCTCTGGTAGCAGCGTTGTCGTTTTTTTTTTTTTTTTTTTACCGCCATCTGTCCGCGTTTCACATTTTATAAACTGTGCAGAATTTTACATCAAACCCAACGAAACACAGACGAGTTATATTTTCTGTGATTTCCAAGCAGCGAGGCCAGCGAGCCGCATCTCTGGTGACACTCGGCGTTCCTGGAATGCATGGATGTACAGAGCTGGGTGACAGATGGCCGTCTCCTGCTGCCAGACTCCGACACCTCTCCCTCCTGGGTGTCATCCACAGCGAAGGTGTCCCATCTGTCACTGATATTGCCCATGCTGACTCTGCCACGGGATGGTGTCGCTTGGCAGGCGTACGGCGCCAATGTCACCGCCAAAGAGGGCGAGGAGGTGGTTGGTAACCTTGGCTCATTGTCACTTTGTGTCTCCTTCCAGATCGACCTCCTTCTCCGGTCAACGTCACTGTCACACAGCTGAAGGCCAACTCCGCCACCGTCTCGTGGGATGTCCCCGAGGGTGACATTATCATTGGATATGCGATATCTCAGCAGGTAGGAGGACAAATGTGGCTGTTATGATGTGATATTAGTACCACATGTCACAATAATGTTCTCATACAGATAGGCACTAAAGTGGACCTGTCATGGATATATTATAGTGGATCTGTCATAGATATATTATAGGTGGACTCATCATAGATATATTATGTGGACTCATCAGATGGTGGACCTGCCATAGATATATTATGGTGGACCCGTCATAGATATATTATGGTGGACCCGTCATAGATATATTATGGTGGACCCGCATAGATATATTATGGTGGACCCGTCATAGATATATTATGGTGGACCCGTCATAGATATATTATGGTGGACCCCATCAAAGATATATTATGGTGGATCCGTCAAAGATATATTATGGTGGACCCGTCAAAGATATATTATGGTGGATCCTTCATAGATATATTATGGTGAACCCGTCATAGATATATTATGGTGGACCTGTCATAGATATATTATGGTGGACCCATCATAGATATATTATGGTGGACCTGCCATAGATATATTATGGTGGACCCGTCATATATATTATGGTGGAACCGTCATAGATATATTATGGTGGATCTGTCATAGATATATTATGGTGGATCTGTCCTAGATAGATTATGGTGGACCCGTCATAGATATATTATGGTGGACCCGTCATAGATATATTATGGTGGACCCATCATAGATATATTATGGTGGACCCCTCATAGATATATTACGGTGGACCCCTCATAGATATATTACGGTGGACCCCTCATAGATATATTACGATGGACCCGTCATAGATATATTACGGTGGACCCATCATTGATAGATTACGGTGGACCCATCATTGATAGATTACGGTGGACCCATCATAGATAGATTACGGTGGACCCGTCATAGATTACGGTGGACCCATCATAGATAGATTACGGTGGACCCGTCATAGATTACGGTGGACCCATCATAGATAGATTACGGTGGACCCGTCATAGATAGATTACGGTGGACCCATCATAGATAGATACGGTGGACCCGTCATAGATTACGGTGGACCCATCATCATTGATAGATTACGGTGGACCCATCATTGATAGATTACGCTGGACCCATCATTGATAGATTACGCTGGACCCGTCATAGATAGATTACGCTGGACCCATCATAGATAGATTACGGTGGACCCGTCATAGATTACGGTGGACCCATCATAGATAGATTACGGTGGACCCGTCATAGATAGATTACGGTGGACCCGTCATAGGTATATTAAGAGCAGCATGCCAGTATAAGACTTCCAATTATTTATTACCTCTCACAGAGATCACAGCGCTAGCCATTGCAATGTCTTCCTGTGCTTTTTCTCTCCAGAAAGACAGCATCATCTTTGTCCAGGCATCATCCAGGATCACTATTTTAATCAAATACCAACCCAGAGATGACACAGTCATCAAAATCCAGATGCCTGCACAGTTCTTGGCTGTGTTCACAAATGTCTGACACAGATCAGCTTCTCACCTTGCGACTTGTTATAAAGTTACAATGTTGCAATCTGATCATTGGGGGAGGGGAAACTGAGGGAGTGCTTCTTCCTGACTGCAACAGACTTATGACACCATGAGAGGCTAGGCAAAGCCACTGGAGAAGAGGAGAAGGAGACTGAGGAAATGCTTCCCCCTGCCTGCAGCAGACTGATGACATCATCTGGGGCTAGGCAAAGTCATAAGGAGAGACTAAAGAAACATTGTCTCCTGCCTGCAGCAGACGGATGACATCATCTCAGCCTAGGCAAAGTCACTGGGGGAGGGGCGGTATTTATAAAGACACCCTCCGTATAAATCACTGATAAGTCTACAACAGTAATACGAGGAATGAGGGGGGGGGATCATAGTATAGATAGGACATTCAGACGGGGCCCAGAATTGTACATTCAGTTTATTTAATAAGTTTATGAAGTTATTATGAAAAATTGGCCTCAGAGGTGATTACCTATGAGAAAAAAAAATAATAATAATAATATATATATATATATATATATATATATATATATATATATATATACTGCATGTGTATTTTTTAAATATATATTTATGTCTGTATATATCTATTTTTTAATTTAAACACACACATATATATATATATATATATATATATATATATATATATATAAATAATTTTTTTAATTCCAAGAAATTTACAGAGGGGGAGGGACTATTCTGTATTGAAGGAAGATTTCCCATTAGTAAAAGGAGAGGATTCTTTATAGTAAAAGCCTTGTTTTGATGGAAGGGGTCTTTAACAGCTCCATTATATGTGTGGGAGGGAATACAGAACATAGTATTAGAAAATAAAACAGACCGGGGCAGCCATCAGTTGCGCAGGTGCCTAATGACCTTTTAGTGAAAGCACAAATGTTAATCAGTATTGACATCTGTGTTCACTACAGAGATAAACAGTTCTTTGTGGAGACACCATTCCAAATTTCTTAACCCAAATCAGCGGGTGCATTTACTGCCAGGTGGTCCCCTGAGCGCACCGTGCCGTGTACTGCAGAGACTGGCACCTTCTGGAAAACCTGCAGCCTGATTAGCGATGTGCAAAACTATTTTGAAATCCAGATGGATTGGGGAATCTGAGAATGGCACTTTTTTTTTTTTTTTTTTTTCATACATTCCCTTAATTCTATGTACAACAATCATGGAATTCATTAATCACAGATTATCTCTTTCCACACTCAATGTAATTAAATTTACATTTATTTAGGAAAATGGCAGAGGTGAAATTACACAGAATAAATTGCACTTTAGTCCCAGGAGATAACAATCTCTTACCGGAGTCGATGTAATGAAAGTTGTATTTATTTGCACAAAAAAATAAGAGACATTTTTGATGAACTTCCTTACTCGTTTGTTTAAAGGGATTGCCAATCTTTTCCCAGAATACCTTGATTTTTTTTTTTACTTGCAGTAGTTTTCACACCAGTTCTAAAGTCATATTTTTTTTTTTTTTAAAAAAGAGGTTTTCCTGGCTAAAATATCAGGCTGGGTACAAGAGCTGGCAGTCTATTTCTTCATAATTTTGTAGGTCGTAAGTGTGAAAAGGTTTACATGGATAATCCACAAATCTGACATCACAGAATAAACCCAGACACCCTCATCATTAACCAACATAGCCAAGAGCTTAGAGTTACAAAATAGTCAATAACTACCAGCTACAACAAACCCACCACTGCCAACACCAAACTCACCACAGACTACACCAAAACCAACAACATCAAACCCACCACCATCATCAAACCCACCACTGCCAACACTGAACCTAACAACACCAAACCCAACACCATCAACATCAAACCCATCACTGCCAATACCAAACCCACCACTAACTAGACCAAACCCAACAACAATAAATCCACCACCATCATCAAACTCACTTTCTGCCAACACCAAACTCACCACTACCAATACCGAACCTACCACTTCCAGCATCTAACCCAGCACTGACAACAACAATCCCACCACTGCAAACACCAAGCCCACCACCAACACCAGTCCCATGACTGCCAACACCAAACTCACCACTGACTACACCAAAACCAACAACATCAAACCCACCACCATCATCAAACCCACCACTGCCAACACCAAACCCAACATCAACAAAAAAAAAAAAAAACCACCGCCAATTTCAAACCCATCACTGCCAATACCAAACCCACCACTAACTAGACCAAACTCCACAACAATAAACCCACCACCATCATCAAACCCACTGCTGCCAACACCAAACTCACCACTACCAATACCGAACCTACCACTGCCATCATTTAACCCAGCACTGAGAACAACAATCCCACCACTGTCAACACCAAGCCCACCACCAACACCAATTCCACCACTGTCAACACCAAACTCACCACTGACTACACCAAAACCAACAACTTCAAACCCACCACTGCCAACACTGAACCCAACAACACCGGACCCACCACCACCAACATCAAACCCATCACTACCAATGCCAACCGCACCACTAACTAGACGAAACCGAACAACAATAAATCACCACTATCATCAAATCCACTGCTGCCAGCACCCAACTTACCACTACCAATACCAAACCCATCACTGCCAACATCTAACCCAGCACTGACTACACCAAACCCACCACTGCCAATATCAAACACAACAATAATCCCACCGCTGCCAACACCAAACTCACCACAGACTACAACAAATCTAACAACATCAAACCCACCACCATTTTTAAACTCACCACTGCCAACATTAAACCCACCACTGTTCACACCAAACCCACCACCACCAAAAAAACCCCACCAACATCAAACCCCCCACCTCCAACCCCAAACCCATCACCATCAACACCAAGCCTCCCACTGCCTGAATCTGCTGTTATAGTCATTTACCGATGATAATCTCACCTATAACTACTACACAATGCTTGTCCTTCTCTCCAGAGGCAGGATGGCCAGATCCATCGGTTTATAAGGGAATGAACACAACAAATCGGGCCTGTGTCTTGTGGGACCTGGAGGAGGACACAGATTATATAATCCAGGTGCAGTCCATCGGTTTGTACAGCGAGAGCCAAGCCAGTAAGAGAGTCCATTTCCGGACCCTGAAAGAGACTGATCGGCTGCCATCAAACAGCTCTAACCAAGGTATGTGAAAGTCCATTTGTACTGGACTAGCTGGACTGTTTACTATTTTATTGACCTAACTACTGTATTGCAGCCTTTCCATACCTTTTTACCCAAGAGGAATCCCCAAGGGTTCCTTGTAAATCTGGTTGAGAATGGCTGCTGTGCTATATTTCCTGGGAGGCAAAACTGCCTATTCTACCCTCCTGCCTATACCACGTTACCTACTGTATGTACTTCCCTCTATTGCTTCTCCTGTTTGCTGCCCACATCTCTCTCTATCACCTCCTGGCCATGTCAATTTCTACCTACCGGTAACACCACTTCCTTTACCTTCTACTCACACCACTTCACCTACCTACTGCGCAGGTCTCTCTATCACTTCCCACACATACCACTTCTCCTGCCTACTGCTCACGTCAATCTCTACCACCTGCTGACACCACTTCTCCTATCTACTGCCCTCACCCTTTCTATCACCTATTGGAGGTGTGAGCACTTAGAGAAAGGAAAACCAAACTGTTGTTCTTCAGGGGTCCCTTTCCCACCATACTTGTTACTTTCGTTTCCTCTAGGAAATCCTCCCTGTGGCTTTCACTCCTTTACAGGTTACTCATGGTACATCCTCTTTTAGCTGTAGGATTGTTTTTTTTTTTTCTTAGTATGGCCTCCTCAGTTACATAACTAGGCCTTATGCAAACACTCAGTTCCTTGCTGCCGCAGGAGCAACCAGTCTGTCTTCTGTCTGCTGGGAAATGCTAGGGCTGTCCATTTTAAAGGATATGCAGCAATGATCCTGCACTCCTTCACAATCTGTCATGGGTTGCCCAACAGTTTAGGATTCCTTTCACCTTGCTCCCTATTGCAGGCCATCAATCCTGGCTAGGAACCTTCACTGCGATCTCCTAGTGCAGGGATAGGCAACCTGCAGCTCTTCAGCTGTTGCAGAACTACAAGTTCCATCATGCCTCTGCAAGTCATAGCTGTAACTGTCAGTTTTGTAATGTTGCAATGCCTCATGGGAAATGTAGTTCCACAACAGCTAGAGAGCCGCAGGTTGCTTACCCCTGTCCTAGTGCCTTTTCAGAATGTATTTATTACAAGTACTTCTACAGTGTTGTCTATCTACTTAGCGCTTTACACGTACACCATATTGCCAAAAGTATTGGGCCGTCTGCCTTTCCACGCATTTGAATTTTAATTGCCTCCCAGTCTTAGTCTGTAGGGTTCAATATTGAGTTGGCGGACCCTTTACAGCTATAACAGCATCAACTCGTCTGGGAAGGCCGTCCACAAGGTTTAGGAGGGTGTCTATGGGAAGGTTGGACCATTTTTCCGGAAGCACATTTTTCAGGTCAGGTACTGATGTCAGGGGAGGAGGCCTGGCTCGCAGTCTCCGCTCTAATTCATCCCAAAAGGTGTTCTATGGGGTTGAGGTCAGGACTCTGTGCAGGCCAGTCAAGTTTGTCCACCTCAAACTCGCTCTTCCATGTCTTTATGGACCTTGCTTTGTGCACTAGTGTGCAGTCATTTTGGAATAGGAAGGGGCCATCCCCAAACTGTTCACACAAAGTTGGGAGCATTACATTGTCCAACATATCTTGGTATGCTGACACCTTAAGAATTCCCTTCACTGGAACTAGGGGGCCAAGCCCAACCCCTGAAAAATAGCCCCACACCATAACCCCCCCTCCACCAAACTTTACACTTCGCTCAATGCAGTCAGACAAGTACCGTTCTCCTGGCAACCACCAAACCCAGACACATCCATCGGATTTCCAGACAGAGGAGCATGATTTGTCACTCAAGAGAACATGTCTCCACTGCTCTAGAGTCCAGTGGCGGCGTGCTTTAAACCACTTCATCCGATGCTTTGCATTGCACTTGGTGATGTAAGGCTTGGATGCAGCTGCTCGGCCATGGAAACCCATTCCATGAAGTTCTCTACACACTGTTGTTGTGCTCATCTGAAGGCCACACCAAGTTTGGAGGTCTTTAGCTATTGACTCTGCAGACAGTTGGTGACTTCTGCGCACTGTGCGCTTCAGCATGCGCTGACCCCGCTCTGTCATTTTACATGGCCTACCACTTGGTGGGTGAGTTGCTGTTCCCAGTTGCTTCCACTTTGTTATAATCCCACTAACAGTTGAGCGTGGAATATTTAGTAGCCAGGAAATGTCACGGATGGACTTATTGCACAGGTGACAACCTATCACGGGACCACGCTTGGAGTCACTGAGCTCCTGAGAGCGACCCATTCTTTCACAAATGTTTGTAGAAGCTGTCTGCATGCCTAGGGGCTTGATTGTATACACCTGTGGCTATGGAGGGGATTGGAGCACCTGAATCACATGATTTGGAGGGCGGGGCCAATACTTTTGGCAATATAGTGTATATTGTACATTCCCATCAGCCCCTGCCCTCAAGGAGTGTACAATCTAATGTCCCTAACTCACTTTCATACATACACATACTAGGGCCAATTTAGAGAGCAGCCAATTAACCTACCAGCATGTCTTTGCAACGTGGGAGGAAACCCACACAGGCACAAGGAGAACATGCAAACTCCAGGCAGATAGTGCCGTGGTTGGGATTCGAACCAATGACCCTAGTGTTGCCAGGCTGCCCCTTATGAATGGTATAGGATCCTGAAGTTTACACATCATCATTTCTAATAATAGTGTCTTATTTAATAATCACAGTATGTGTAACATATCTATCTGTGTCCAAGCAGGAGACATCACTGTGCAAGGAGTGGACAAGGAGCGGCAGCTAGAAACTGGCGAGATCATCATTATTGTGGCCGTTCTGCTCATGTGGGCAGGTGAGTCACCATTTCCTATAGATAGAATGCTGAACATGTCCCCCCATCATCTATGAATGATATGATGAATGTGTTTCCTCCTACATCACATAAAGATTATGTATTGCATATGCCCTCTGGATCACCTATAGACAAGGTGCTGATTCCGTATCCCCTTTATCACTTTAAAATTACACACAACAAGCACTTGTCCGATGACCTATAGAGTACAGTATATATTGAGCTTGTCCCCCCTCACCACCTCACCTATACATCATATGATGAATTCCCATCTATTTACCTGAAGATATACTAATCACCTCTATTTTATGGACTGGGCATGCTTTTGCAAGATCTTCTAAGACTTAAATGCTGGTCCTCCCCCACTCCAGTTCTTTGTACGTTTTTATGTGGTATCATCAATTCACCCAAAGAATATGTACTCCTTTTTGTCACTGCACAGATCCTAAACTTAGGAAACTCTTGGGACTATGGGCCTGTAGACTCTTGAAATAATTAATGTTTGGCCTGTAGACCCTTGAGCGTATGATTTGGTGCCTGTAGATTCTTGAATGTGGGATTTTTGGCCTGTAGACTCTTAACATAGGACTTTTTGGCCTGTAGACTTTTGCATGTTGGATTTGGAGCCTGTAGACTATTGAACATGGGAGTTTTGGCTAGAAGACTCTTGCATGTTAAATTTTTGGCCTGCAGATACTTGAATAAAGGTTTTTTGGCATGTAGATTCTTGAATGTGGGATTTCTTTTTTGGACTGTAGACGCTTGAATGTGAAATGTTTGACCTGTAGACTCTTGGATGTGAGATTTTGGTCCTGTAGACACTTGAATGTTTAATTTTGGCTTGTAAACTCTTAAATATTAAAATTTTTGGCTTGTAAATTCTTGAATGTGGGATTTTAGGCCTGCAGATACTTGAATATGGGATTTTTGGCCTGTAGATATCTGAATGTGACATTTTTGGCCTGTAGACTTTAGCATGTGGAATTTAGAGCCTGTAGACTTATGAACATGGCAATTGTGGCTTGTAGGCTCTTGAATGTTTGATTTTTGGCCTGCAGATACTTGAATTAAGGATTTTGGTAATGAGACTCTTGAATGTTGGATTTTTTGACCTGTAGACTCTTGCATGTGGGATTTGGAGCCTGTAGACTCTTGAGTGTGGGATTTTATGCTTTTAGACTCTTAAATGTGAAATTTTAGGCCTGTAGAAACCTGAATCTGACATTTTGGCCTGTAGACTCTTGAATGTGTGATTTTTGGCCTGCAGATACTTGAATATTGTATTTCTGGCATGTAGACACCTGAATGTGAAATGTTTGCCCTGTAGACTTTTGCATGTGGGATTTGGAGCTTGTAGACTATTGAGCATGTGAATTATGGCTTGTAGACTTATGAATGTTTGATTTGTGGCCTGCAGATGTGGCCCTGTAGACTTTTGCATGTGGGATTTGGCACCTGTAGACTCTTGAATGTGGGATTTTAAGCTAGTAGAATGTGTGATTTCTGTCCTGCAGATACTTGAAATGGGATTTTTGTTCTGTAGATTCTTGAATGTGATAATTTTTCCCTGCAGATGCTTGAAGCTGGAATCCAATAATTCAGCTACTTTGTATAATGTGATGGATTACTAGGGGTTATGTCCAACAAGGTGCACAGCACCTCGTGGACTTACCTCTTTAATTTACAGGTAACAGTTTTAACTACTTCTATGCTTACAGCTTTCTAACGCTGGACCCTCTTGTCTCAGCTCTTGAGGCTGCAGAGTTGCATGCAGCCACTGTGCCCTCCCCTTCTCTTCAATCACAGAGCACTTAGTATTTAATGAAATCATTCACAAAATACAAAGGCTTCTGTAAATGAACACAGAAGGGACAAGCAGAGATGACGTGAGTAAGAAGGACAGAGTCAACCATGAGTTCAGTTCGAACCCGAGTTCAGCCTTAAATATGGGTTTTTTGGGCCTGTAGACTCTTAAATGTGGGATTTTTGGCCTTTAGACTCTTGAATATGAGACTGACCCATAAAATCACGAATATGGGATTTTTTTGGTCTGTAGAGTTCTGCATGTGGGATTTGGAGACTGTAGACTCTTGAACATGGGATGTTTGGCTTGTAGACTCTTGAATGTAAGATTAGTGGCCCATAGATACATAAATATAGGATGTTTGGAATGTAGACCCTTGAATGTGAGACTTGAGGCCTGTAGACACCTGAATGTAGGATTTGTGGCCTGTAGACTCTTGAATTTAGAAATATTGGCCTGCAGACTCATGAATATGTGATTTTTGGCCTGCAGATTCTTAAAAATTGGATTCTTGGCCTTTAGACTATTGAATATGGTGTTTTTTGCTTGTAGAAATGACACGTCACAGCTCAGATCCTTATCACAGGGCCTCTGTACAGTCCAGCTCCTGTACTGAATGAGAAGTGAGCCGTTCAATACTACAACTGTTTTTCCTGGGGATTTTAATAAAGTATCAATCAGAAGGGGATTAATACTGGGCCCATCAAAGATTGAGAAAGATTTGAGTGTCCTTGCAGCCCAAAGACGCAATACAAGCAAGAGTGCCAATCTGCACATTCTGCAGCCAGCAATATACTCTCTTTCATTAAAAGAAGCATAAACCAAAAGACATATATCACATATACGAAGCATTAGTATGACCTCATCTTAAATATTCAGTTCAATTTTGGGCAATGACTCACAGAGAGAATTTTTTGGAACTGAAAATGGTGCAGAGACAAAATAAATAATACAGCATGGATGAGGAATGACTAACTGTACTGGATATATCCACCTATGAGAAGAGGCAGTATGGGGAATAGGAATATAAATGGTCCATACTAAAGATTAGGTGGTTAACTTTATGGTGACCATAAAAGACAAGGTAACAGGTAAAATACATTCCTTCAGGCTCTCCTCAAAGAACAAAACTTATGCACAATGATAAATATACAAAAGGAAATGTTGATTGGGGTATTTATTAAGTTGCCATTAGGTAACAATAGGTATCATCTTCCCGCTAAAGCAGACTGAACTTTGTACAAGGGGTTTACTTGTCTCTAGATCGCCACATGTTTGTGATTTTGTTTTATTCCAACCAGTATAAGCTTTATAGCAGGGGCGGACTGACAACTCATGGGGCCCCCGGGCAATAGGGGATCATGGGGCCCCTGTGTCCCTGCCCAAACTCAAAAAAGCCTATGAAAAAGGTACCAGGGGCATCTCATGGAGCCCCCTACTGACCCCGGGCCCTCGGGCAGTGCCCAAGTTTCCAAATGGTCAGTCCGCCCCTGCTTTATAGGCCATGGTCTGCCACACTTCCTAACACTCTGTCTTGTTGTATAGCGGTCATCGCTCTGTTCTGCCGCCAGTATGACATCATCAAAGACAACGACTCCAATAATAACAAGGAAAAGGCCAAACCATCCTCGGAGCAGAGCACCCCTGAGCGGCAGACGGGAGGGTTGCTGCGAAAGGTAGGTTCTTCACAGTGTGGTCTACGTATTGGAAAAATATTCCTGTATAGTCCCTTTCATCCAACCAGATTCTCCTTTTCTAAATATCTAAATAAATTGGGGAAGATGATTGGTTACTAGACCAACAGATTGATTGCAATGCATTCTGTTTGTATTTACTCTGATTTATGTGTTTCCTTCCCTAGAAGAAGACTCCGTCTGTCAACATTATTGAGGTATAGTGCTCGTCCAGCGGCCTGTCCATGACCCAAGTTCTGCACAGAGCATCTTGGGCCTTTTGGATGAAATGCACAAAGGCAGATAAAGGACTGAAGACTTCCTATAAGCAATACCACTGGAACTCTGCACCTGCGGAGATTCTTAAGGGCTCATCTCGTCCACTGTATCATCTCACCAGCCATGGGACAAATTTCTGCCCTGGCCTAAGGACCTTGAGATGTCCACCTCCACCACATCAGACAGGATGGTCCAGCAGATGGTCAGTGCGAGCACATGCATTGGTCATATATGTACTGTATCATGGCATGATATGAAACCACGCATCCTGGTTGGAGCTCTTTCACTGACCACAAGACGATGAGTGGGGAGATAATTCTCGGATCTTTAGCCATTCTACCACCCAACATTCAAAATAATGGAGAGTGTCTTTTGGTTCTCTCTTTAACTTTTAGGCTGGAATAGCGGTTCTTAACCTGTTGGTCCTGACCTGAAACATTGGGACATCATGATCTTTATGGTGCACCTTTGTTCACATTCTTAACAACACTTAGTGCCAAATATTCAACAATCATGAAGTTATTACTATGTTATTTTCTAAAAGTATTGCATTGTTTATGTACTGCCATATTTTAATAGCATTTATTAGGTGACGGTGGTAAACTTATCCAAAGGGAACTGGTTGTCCAGTCCAACCTCACCCATAGACCAAAAAGGACTCTTAGACTTTGTCTGGGTCCTGGCCTTGGAAGGTTAAGAACCACTTTCTCTGGATGAGGATGAATCCACTTTCCTCTGGGGTGGAATATTAGATGGGTTGCCTCCTTCATACCTTGAGAGGATGAGGCTAACACCTTCCCGAAGAATGGGAATAGATGGTGGCCAAGTCTTTGGTCTGCAGTTTACTCTATAGTAAGGTTGAATTTATTGTCCTCTACTATCTTTGAGGACTTTGGCTATGTTCACACATGGTTAAATATGAAAAAAAAATATTCGTTCTCATCCACAGTGGAATATAATAATGGGTGAGTTTCCCCCAGAGTAATAGAAGGGCATTAATGTTGGATCACTGGCAGTAGTGTTGCAGCACTTTGTCTTTCATCAGCAGTGTCGTTTTGTACCTGTAACAAGGTCTAGATGCTTCATATAGTCTAGATATCTTACTGCCAGTGCTCATTCTTTGTACAGTACAGGGCCGCACTTCAATGGCCAGCAAGGCCAGAATTAGTCTAGCAATGGGTCCCTGGCTACCTGCCGCTTTAGTGCTTAATTAGTTTTCAGTGCCTTTTTAAGTTCTCATACTGTTTTTGTGAGACGGATTACACAGTGACGGGGATGATTCAATGTGCATTCAGTGCAGTTAGGAAATGTTTTCTGTATAGTTTCATCCTGGATCATTCCCCTTAAACTGAGCTGCACAGGAGATACTGGAGCCTAGAAGGTGGGGAGGGGCTGGGGCAGATCTAGAACATGCCTGAGGGATCATAAGTCCCCTGTTTACAGCCAATTCACACAGGCTGGAGCAAACTAATAGAGAAAGAGAAAGTCCATCAGTTGGCAATGAAGCATAGTTGGGTTTAACCTTGGAAATTACGCAGATTTGTTTAATATGGTCAGCAGCTACACCTTTGTTCAGCTTTTGTAAATCTGACCCATTTGGGTTGACTGGCTGCCCCAGTAATCACCTAATTTCTACATGGAGGCTGAGCATTGTGATAATTATGGTGGAGGGAATATGGTATAATGGTAATCTGTGTCCAACCACAGATGGGTGGTGTTGCATGTCTTGGAAATCTATGACTTGATGTGCAGCACGATAGTCTGATATCTACCAGATGATAGGAACCGATAATTTGATATGCGCAGTGGTGGGGAGGATGATGTAGTCTTGGCTGATCAGTATCTCCTGGGGCTCCTCAACAATCAGCCTATCGTAATTTTACAGTGCCGTTTATCTGTGCTTACAGTCGAGCTCAGGTCCTGCCACCTAAGAGACACCTAGATCCAGTTGCAGTTGGAGGTGGTCTGTCATTATATTATTTGTGGAATTTAGAAGGGGGAGGTTCATGCTCCCTGCACGGTGGTTCATTTAGGGTCAGTAATGTTCTCTTTCCAACACTGACCAGGGAAGCAAATATGTACAATTAATATCATGTATATATCATGAAGAAAGATGGTAAAAACAATGCCAGGATCCCCAAAAAAAGGGACCTCTCTGCTGTTTTCAAATGATAGGAAAAACACTGCCATCTAACACCTGGCCCAAAGAGCTAGCAATCCGCTTGAATGACACTGCCATCTTACACAAGATGCTGTCCTGGCTTAACCCAAAATTGGGAGATAGTAGCCGGTGTGGCGCTTACACTCTACAATACTTCACTACAGTCTACTGACCACCATAGTCTTAGAGGTATTGGCCCAACTGGTTTCACCTTACAGAAGAGATCTGGGGGCTTTTTTTAAAAGTCTAAATAATTGTTTCAAATTTGGCATCAGTTGATGGATGCAAAAAAGTAGAGAAAATCTGAAAACAAATTTCTATCCTGAATTTGAGTCCTCCTTCAACTCCCTCTGCTGCAAATAATGAATTACACCAGAATTTGGGGGGTGTACATTTTCAAAAGAAGAGGTAACAAAACTACTAACCCCACCGAGTAGGAACAATGGTAATCTTTACGCTTACCCACAAACCTATCCTACAGTCACTCCCAGATAAAAACCAAGTATACTGGTAATCACAATTCCTTAAATGTAAAGAGGAATCTAGTCAGAATTTCTTAATAAACTGGTGGAAACCATCTACATTTCTTGGGATTATCCCAAAATAACCACAAAATAGCACATTTTTTAAAAAGTCCAAAGTATCTTGTGCTGGATGTTTTCCAGATCTACCAGTTTGGAGTAACTGCTTCTCTTTTAGAACCCCTAGGTCCTTTGCCCAGGTCTCAATGTCGAAGAGGGCTCTATGTACTCTAGATTGGTCGTAGGACATCACTGGCGGTCCGTTTTCTTGGGATTATCCCCCAAAAAAACAACAAAATAGCATCTTTATTAAAAGTCCACAGTATCTGGTGCTGGATATACTCCAAATCTACCAGTATGGAATAACTGGTTCTCTTCTAGAACCCCTAGGTCCTTTGCCCGTGGTCTCAATGGTGAAAAGAGCTCTACGTACTATAGAATGGTCATTGGACACCACACACGGTCAGTTTTAAGCCCTGATCAAGGTGATAGATGAAAACAGTAGAGAGCCTGGGTCTGCGGTATGGAAGGTCCCATAGAGCTGGCAGGCAACTTTCTCGTAATTCAAGTCAGATCTGTTTTCAGGACCAAAATCTATTTTTATATGTTTTTGTTATTACATTGCCTTAACTCAATAACTAGCGTAACCAACGGCTCCTTTGTTAGAATGGTTGTGTCTGTGCCTTCAAATCGGTCCTCCCTTGCCAACCAGTCACAGAAGCTCCAGCCTCACATGGAAATGGCGTACCGAGAATATGCTTGAACCTAGGCCTCCCATCACCTGGCTGGATCAGCTGTTCCTGATTGGTGGGGAGGTGACCGCCATATGAAAGGACGAGGGATAACATGTTACCGTCAGAGGCATCGGGGTGCAAAACGAGAGTAAACAAGGGAAAAAAAATTTTTTCACCTTCTTCTGGCACACTGTCCATGAGGTCATAGAGGATGATATCATCAGTCAGTGATGTCATTCACAGCATGTTTTGCTCATAGCCTGAGATGCATGAAGAATGTACAACTAAAATCACAACTCCTGAGTATGTTTAATATTATCTCTCATGTTCCATGCCCACATTCGCCCTCTTTCCTTTAAGCCCCTCCAGGATACCCAGCACAGAGCGTCCCAGAAAATGGTTTTACAAGAAAGGGGATCCTAGTGGCATTTCGGGGGCCACAGTCTGGTAACTGATGGAATTTGGGTGTTGTGAAGATTTTACAGGTTATGTGTAGCGCTTCATACTGAATCGGCCCTGGGCATTGTAAAGCTGGTGCTCCTGTGTACGTCCACAATGCTGTGCCAGGCTGCCATCAATAAACAGTATTATCATCCAACAAATGGGGAGAGCCTCTTCCTTTTACCTGTGTAATGCGCCATGTCAGTGGACATACGGGAGAGCCTGTGACCCATCACTGCATGTTCCAGCATCTGACAGCATCTCCTTGTCCTGTCCCTGTACATACGAGTAGCATGTTGTTGCTGTGTCCTGTATATGATTTGTATAAAGTTGTATAGCTGTGCATTATACTGTATATAGATGCCATCTAATCCTATATTATTGCACCATAACAATCGCAAGTCTTCCAGTAATGAAGCAACAGAGCATTTGTACTGACACCCTCCATGGCGGACACATGCTCTAGGCATGACGCTGAAACGTCACATGTTCCAGTGAGATATGCAGATGTTCTAATGTATGTTGTTTATCCACTTTGTCCGTATGGCATTGGGAATGTTTTTGTTGGCCATGTTCTGTACTATGACTTTTTTCTTGATGTAGAAATGTATCAAACCTCTCTGTAACCTTAAATGTGTTCCCATCTACACTTTTTGTTTACTAATAAACTCAAACTCTGCTCATATTCTCCATTCTAACCCTTTATCCAAGACCCCCATCACCCCCTGCTATATTTATTCATCAGTCACATCCTTCCAGGCCATTCTGCCATCTCATCACATCCAGGCCACTTCATTCCAAATATTCCCAGTCCTGTTATCAGCAGTTGTATGATATTGTTATTTTGTCATCTTCTTTGCTTCTCAAAGGTCCATACATGTTTCAAAAATAGATTCAGAGAAAAAAAATTTGACATATCCATATAAATAATAATCTGCTCTTCCCTGCCACTGTTCTGTGTTGATGTAATAACCCTGTGCCATCCTTCCAAAGATCCATCATGTATAATTTCATTATAGTCTTTATTTACTCAACCTTTTGTTCCAAATCAATCCTCCTACATCCCCTCAGCATTTCCAAAATAAACT